CCACCCTTCCCCTTTTTCCACAAAGCAAAAGAGAAAAAAAAAGTGTTAACCCCTTTTTGGGCCTTTTGGCTAGTTTGTATGCATGTTGCAACATGTATTCCTGTTTGTTTATGTGAATTATTGTCAAGTCTCTCCAAATTTCCTAAATATCAAATTATTCAAGATTTTTTATGCTTGGACCCCTAATATAAATTATTTCTGGAGTCAAATTATACTTGAATGATAGATAATTTAGTAGTAATGTGGAATTTCATGTGTAACTTTGTTAATCCTCCATGTACTTACAGGCTGCCAAAAGCAGATCATCATGCACGCGGATTGTGCCAGACATGATCAAACCCAATCCAAATCCGGGGAATATGTAAGCATTGTTTGCCTGAAAGATATGAAGAAAGTACAATAATTAGTCCCCCAATAGATTCTCATAGAAAAATCTGTTTCAAAACAGAGAAAGGACTTCCTGGTATAGGCAATTACCTGGCCAGGCACAAAAATGTGCCCATTCTGTTCAACAGGGTCAAATGGACTTCCACTAGCAAAGATTGCACGACCCTGAAGATTGCAACATGGAGAGGCTAGAAGTTTTTAACAGCAACAAAAGTCACATCCATATTGTGATATCTATGAATAGAGAATTCAACAGAAAGTTATGTCGTTTACCTCGCTCCATGTATAAGCTTCTTCGGCAGTACACTCAGCTTGTGAGGTTGGGTTGGAGAGAGCAAGAATGAGAGGTTTCTACATGCCATTCATTTCCATAAATGTCAAAAATTCTCCAGCAGAATAGTTATGAGAGAGAGAGAGAGAGAGAGAGANGATAATAGTTTTATCTCTATATTAGAGTGTAACGACGATGTATTATTTGAACAGATGAATATTTATTATTGCTATATATCCGAGCTTTGACTGAGACCAATTTAATCTATAGTCAACTTTTAGGATTTCAGTGACAAGGAGAATTATTTCTCTTTTGTTGGGTGTCTTGGAGGAGAGACTCTAGTGTGAATCTTGTTGGGGAGCATGATAGATATCGCGGTAGTTGCATTGGAACAGAACACTTCACTATAAGCCATTTAACAGTGAAAGCCTCATGAAAGACCAAACGGGGCTATAAATCAGCCTAAAATTTCCAATCCAACAAATAAAGGCCCATTGGGCTGGCCCGGCCTATTGAAAACCATATAATTGGGCCTAAAGGGGCCCAGTAATCTCCCTCCCCATCTAAGTTAAAAAAAACTTCAAAAATGTTCTTAGTATATGAAACAAATTCTCGCCAAAAAACATTGGGACGAAAGTCATCTACAAGATAGTCTCTTGGATGACAAGATGATAATTTCATTCATACACCTACCTTATCTCTGTGAGATGGCTTAATTGATAGAGTAAGTTTTGAAGTGTTCTGGAATGCTTTCGAGTCTTGGTGCTCCATCATATATCTTTTATCTCTTTTTTCCCTTGATCTCAATTTTAATTTAGCAAAACATACCTGATAATGGTGGATTTCTGCTCTTATGTTCCATACAAGTTCACTGTAAATCTTTGTTCCAATCAGATAGTAGTTTCATTTTTTTGAATCAGAACATTCCACAACAATATGGGTTACTGGTTCGGTGATTAAAATCGAGTTTATCGGTTGTGCCTGAAACCAAAGATAGTCCATTTATATAATTAATGTCAAAAGGTTAGTT